AGAAAAAAATAATAACATACGCTCATGAAATTTAAAACATAGACATATGAGAATCTCTCCATTATTTTTAGTTAGATTTCATATAAATCCTTTGTGACTGTCATATTTTGTTGTACTCTATAAAAAAGGAAAATTCGTTAATTTTTGGCATTTTTAGATTCTCCCTCTGTAACAAGAAGGTAGAATTTTGTGTTTCTTACATATAATGTACAATATAGTTTTACTAATCATATACTATAGTTTGAACGATAAGTCTATTGTAGAATTTGTATAATTTGCTTTAAAGTGCTAAAATTGGCACTTTTCAATATAATTTCTATAGTAAATGTACCTGTATTTTAAGACGTTCCCTTAAGAATACCTTGACGGTAGATTTCTCACGAATTCGGCGTGTACACTGAAGTTAATGTAAGTTATATATGGTATAAAAATGAAGAGTTTCGCTATTGTAGTTTTCACACAATAAAAACTTAGTCGGCCCCCCTTAGATCAAATTTGATCAGATAATTTTATTTAGTTGAGATATTCCAACCACATATGAATAAAAAGAACTTTTTTAAGGTATTTAATCCCTAATAGCAACACATTAAATGAAATTTAACACATTTAAGATGTGTAAGTGTAGAATACTAAGTTTTGTGTAAGTGTAGAATATTCAGTTTATTAGACATAAATCCCGTCTATTACAATTAGCATGTAAGGGTGGGATGTGTCCTAATTTATGACCTTGAAATTTGCTAAGAGTTATCTCCCTTTATTTTCAATTAATAAAAAAATCAATTTTAAAAATCTTATCTGGTTAAAAAATTATTTTAAATCGTCATTCTATTTCTAATGGTTCAATGCATCTTTCCACCACAGTATTTTATGATATTCTAATTATTCTAATTTTTATTTTAATAAAAACGCTTTTCCCCATAGACTTCAATGCAATTTCTTTTAACTAACTACTGCTTAGTTAATGAAATGTTTGACATTTTCACGTGGGCAATTCTTTTCTATTATAAAATGCTTCTATTACAAGTCAGATTATTATTTACTTAATGGACATTTAAGGATAGAGAAGTTGGTCCTATTAGGGATTAAAATCCTTAATTAGCGGATATATGTACATGTAATACGTGATTTTCTTTTTTACTCTTTCGGTCGTTCAAAAAGATTTAGTTACTGTCACTATACACGTTTAATTTTTTTCCCCAAGATATATTGCAGTACAAATTTTTTCATCAATATCTGAAAATTCGCACTTTTAAAGTGATCTTAAAGTTTATCAAATCAACCCATTTTTAGAAAAAATGCATTTCAGTGAAATTATTTAAGAGCGATATATGGTAAGTGTCTCAATTGGCCCCTTAAAATTAATATCTTAATTTTACTTTATATATAGCTTTAATTTGTACAGCTATACATGCGACTTTTATTGGTCATTTTCATTTTGATCAAAATGCCGTTATTTTAGAAATATGACATCATAAAAATCACGTTTTCCCGCCATTTTAGCATATTTTGTGTAAAACTGCCTATTTTCAAGCAGTTTTTCTTCCAGAAAATATAGAGTGCAGTCTAGAACAAGATTTATATTTTAACCATAGATGTATCTTTCTAATACTAATTAGTGACATAAAAATTATGTATGTTCTACACTGCGCTCTATGTTTCCCATAAGATAAAACATCGAGAAAAGGGCATATTTTTGGCTTTTTTGTTAGATAGCAGAAATAGCATTATTTCTAATGTCATTTACAGCTAGTGAGTGCATATAAATGTGAAAAATATATTGGAAATATTTCTAATATAATCTCTTCTACAAAATAAATATCAATTAAACATATCTGAATGTCATTCTAAAATGTAGATTTTTAGGGGGCCAAAATTGGCTCTTATCATATATACTCCTTTTGCCAAGCGTTAGAAATGTTGTATTCATGATTCAATAAATGGTGTAATTTCAAATAGTTATGAGTATGCTGTATCTGGGATCGCCAACACTCTAAAGAAAACTAATGTTATACAATCCGAACGTTTCACCGTAGTTTACATGCCATTTGTTTGCCAAAGGTAAGCGTTTTAAACATTTTTTGTGTGTATTTTAATGAGAGTAATTGGTTTATTTAAAAATGGTATCGTGATTTAGATATATTATGAACTTGTTGATATAAAAGCTTCACTATCCCAGTTCCTTTGTAAGTTTACAAGTTTAACACAGTCAATCATATCAGATTTTAAATTGATAAATAATATGGAAGGAGACACGGATAAGCTACTTCCTTTTATATACACGTATCAGTCTGCAAGGTAAAATATACATGTTCACATATACTAGTTTTTGAATTACTGAATACTTTTTTTCATTTTATTTTAAAAATTTTGTATTTTTACTTTCGTTTTAAATTCATTGTATCAACTACGGAAACCCATAGAAATTAAAAAAAAATGTAGGAAAAGTGTCCATTCTTATCAATATAGGGAAAAATGTAATGATTGTTTGGTGTAGATTGAAACTTTAAAATACACCTTGATAAAAAAGGTCTTTTGAATATATTCATTAGAAAAATTAGATATTAATTGAGAAAATAATTGTTCAACACCCCGTGTGTTGTAAAAATCATATCTAAATTTTAAAAATATGACGCTAAAGTTCGGAAAAAATCCTGGACATTGAAACACAGAGGGTTGTTCAGTGACTATTTTCATAAAAAAGTCTTACGACTACGAAAAAAATTGTTTAACTCTTTTTTTAATGAAGATATTTATTTATTATTATTTACATTGCAATCATAAAATAGTAATATAATGGAGTCGAAAAATAAGATTTTTGGCAGCTTACAGTAACTATCCCTTGAAAATTGGTAGGAAATTTCATTCTTCGTGACTGTTAGTCGTAAGACTATTGTGAAAAGGGCCACACGTTTCCTGGTGAAAATACGTACCCTTTTAGAATTTCTTGTAGAACGGTGACAGCATCCGTGAATTCTCTGTATGTACATGTATGTTTAAATTAACAAGAACACAATTCATTCAATGTATTAGAATAAAAGTCAGCGAAGGCATGCCAACACGTTGAGTAATATTTACAAACATGGTCACTATAACGAAAATGAATAAGCAAAAAATGATAATAAAGGATATTGTTAAAAGCCCTGTAACATCGACTTATTGAATGAAATATGACTGAGTAATTAAAATCAAAATATCAAGAACGTGTAGGTTCGAATCAAATGAGTTTGATGAAAGATAATGTAGTGTTGCCCTCATATTCTGGAAAGCTTAATTGAAAAAAAGACAATAATGATAATTTGAAATAATTTATATATGAAGAGCAATAATTAATCTCAAACTTATACATAAAGAATATATTTAATATGGGGACTCATGTGTAAATACTTTAGATTATGTCGTGTGAAATTAAATTCTATGAAACAAATCAGTCAATTTTAAAGCCAAATATCCAAATTGATTATTAAAATTATCTTTAAATACGATTTATTCAAATACATGATTGTAAGATTTTATAATTCAGTCTTTTATATTTTCAGATGACTGAAGTCAAGACTTCCAATAACTGGCGTTCTGGCCTCAGTGTTGCTGAATGTAACCGATATATGCTGAAAAAAGAAATCCATTGTGATGTCACATTTAGAGTGGGAAAAGAAGAAAAGCTTATTCACGCTCATAAGTATGTTCTAGCGAGTAGAAGTCCCGTGTTTGACGCCATGTTGTATGGAGACCTAGCAGAAGCTAAGGAAATTAAAATTCCAGACATTGAGTCATCTGCATTCCATGTTCTTTTACGGTAAAATTTAGATTTTAATAATTCTTAGCATAATTTCAGTATTCTTTTGGGCCATTTGAAAGTCATTGTCAAAGACATATCAGTTTTCAACCTGCAACATATTAATCACGTTTTTAGTCATTATTGCTACATTCATAAATTGCTACAGAGTATATAGATAAAAGATAATATTGTAGCATTTTCAATTTCCGTTACATGCATGTACAAATTTTCAGTCTATGCAGCATGTACAAATTTTCAGTTTATGTAATGCCTTCATTTTGCGAATAAGCTAAAACTCACGTACAAAATGTACACATTTTTCATTTTTAAAAAAGCTATTAAGTAGTCATATGCGCAGGAGTAGTTTTTATATTTTGCTGGAATATTGGATTTATTTTCCAGCCGTCAGTATGAATTCATGATATACTTATAATTCATAATATTTTTTTAGATTTCTGTATTGTGGTGATGTTGATGTTACTGAGGACACAGTCATTGGGGCCTTGTACGCTGCTGAAAAATACGATGCTGAGGAATTGAAAAAAGCTTCGAAATTATATTTAGATCAAAATATCACAACAGAAACTGTATGTTCAATCATTGAATCTGCAAAGTTGTTCAACTTTGAAAATCTGACAGAAAAGTGTATGGATTTCATTGAAGAAAACTGTGATTCAGTTTTTCAATCACCCTCTGCCTTAGGACTAATGAAAGAAACCCTCAGCGAGATAGTCTCCTCAGAGAACTTAAATATAGAGGAACTGGGAATTTATCACTTTCTAATAAAATGGGCTGAAAATCAATGTGAAAGAAAACATATGGAGAAGTCTGATGAAAATATTAGAAAAGAGATAGGGGATATTATATACCACGTTCGTTTTCAGTCATTGACTTTAGAAACATTTGTAAAAGATGTTTGCAGACGGCGAATACTTACTTCTGAAGATATGTTCAATTTGCAGCAAATTATTGTTGGTAATCTAAACATGGGAAACACAAAATTCAATCTTGAAGAGCGGAGGTATAAAACGTTCACTGTTTTTCGTGGCAGTGGGTCGAAGGCTGGCTGGGGTTATTCGGGTACCGAGGACAGTTTAGAATTTACCGTGAACAGAAATGTTAAACTTCATGGTTTTCTGATGTGGGGAGGGAGGTCGGTTCCGTATACATACACGGTTGTGGGCAAAGTGCTTGAAAACTCGACTGAAGTCGGAGACATACCTTCTCAGGTAATAGAGAAAACCGATTCTTTGGATTATCAGTTTGAAATTAAATTGAGGAAACCCGTGGTTTTATTTCCTAATAAAAGATACAGAGTTTGGGTTAAATTACAAGGACCTAGCAGCTGGAACGGCAGAACATACAAACAGTCCGTCAACGGACGGGGTGTCCAGATAAATTTTTATACGCATAGAGGGATGAATAATTCGACTTCGGATACTGATGGACAGTTTCCGGGATTAATCCTGTCATTGTAATGAGGTGATATACGTTAATTCCGTGGCCACATCAAACTAATAATATCTGTTCGTATATATAGCATATAAACTGTTTATTTTTGGATGAAAAATCAACACAGACTTATATTTGATTCATTATATTGTTTTCACTACTTTTGCTCTTAATATGATTACTTCTTTCATATTTTTATATAAATTTCTTTCTTTTTTATTAACTAAAAATAAATAATGCGGTCAATCAAAGCGTACATTATTTGATTTTTTCATGGATTTCTTTTATTGTAGTTTTATGGGGTTTTAAGCTCACCTGAGCGAGCTTTTCTGATCACGTTTTGTCCGTCGTCCGTCTAGCTGTCTGCCTGTCTGTCCGTCTATTCGTCCGTCCGTTTGTAAACTTTTCACATTTTCGACTTCTTCTCAAGAACCACTAAGCCAATGTTAACGAAACTTGGTACAAGAACAAATTACGCATCCTTGGGTAAAGGGGAGTTTAAATTGTAATAAATTGTAAAAATGAAGGGCCAAGTCCTATTACCATTGAAGATAATTAAGAAAAGACAAAAATAGGGTCGGGTCATTAAAAATTTTTCTTCTCAAGAACCACTAGGCCAGGAAAGCTGAAACTTATGTGGAAACATCCTTGGGTAGTGTAAATTGTTAAAATAATGACCCACGGGGTAGGGCGGGGCCACAATAGGGAATCTAAGTTTTACAAAGAAATATATAGGAGAAATCTTTTAAAATATTCTAAAATAGAAATATATAGAAAAAATCTTTTAAAATCTTCCTATAAAGAACCATTCGGCCAGAAAAGCTGAAACTTATGTAGAAGCATCCTTGGGTAGTGTAGATTTAAAATTGTTAAAATCATGACTCCCGGGGGTCGTTCGGGGCCACAATAGGGAATCTAAGTTTTACATAGAAATGTATAGGAAAAATCTTTTTGTAATATTATTGATAATAATATGTTTTATGCATACATATGTAATTTTCCATTTCTGTGGTTAGAATGTAGTGATTGTAGTATATTTTCTGTATATCTCAGGTTTCAGAGCTAGGACGTTATGTAATGCATAGTCTCGGGTTTTTAGGCTTTGCGTTGATTAGTCGTTAGCTAACGTCAGAGATATCACGTGATTGTTATCGCTGGTGGATGCTGCAAGTGTTTGTACACACCATTTTTTGTAAGAAAAACATAACGATTTCGGATTATTCATCTTGATCAATGCTTAAGAATAAGTGGATTAGCAGTGCATAGGACTTTATGCACAGTTGATATTTCGGATTCGCTTTGTGACTGTTTTTCGACTCCATCGGAGCCTGGGTACATGCGGGGTGTTTCAAAATGGCGGACATGACGATGGTTGCGCTAATCGGCCATTCGTACATTAGAAGGATGGACAAGTATATGAAAGACAATATGTGATACAAAAATCTTTGTTTTAACCGAAATGGATTCTCATTGTTGATCCATGGCCAAGGTGGGTTAACCGTTAAGGGTTTGGCGACATCGTGAACACTTTGTACTTTCTCCACAGCCCCTGACATTTGCCTTTTTCAAATTGGAGGTAACGAACTTTCCTTCGACCCCCCACAAAGATTGTAAGGGTTTTGGGACTAACCTACAGTACCTGATGGAGTTCACCTATCTACAAAATCATGCAGTACCGATCCAGTACCTATGGTCAAAACCTCAATAGTATCAAAGATGCGGTGTTCAACACTTGCAGGAGGCGAAGGCCAGTATAAATTAATTTGAAGTTTGATATAATGATATACATGATATATGAGCATAAATCATGGAAATTAATGGATGCATATGTATAGGACAAGAGTCAAATATCTAGTAAGATATTTAGAAAGATTTCTGTTCTAAACATTCAAGTAAAAAAAATATTATATACTTCTTTTAGATATATATTACTCCATGAAAACCTGCAGAACATGATGTCAAAATTTTCCATGCTAATGTCTCAAAGTTATTGTTCGCAGGATAAACTAACAGTATACATATGTCAAAGTTTTCCATGTTAATTGCTGTATTAAAGTTATTGGTTCGCAATGTGAACTAGCAGTATACATGATGTCAAAGTTTTCCATGTTGCTGCATCAAAGTTATTGGTTTGCATTGTGAACTAGCAGTATACATGATGTCAAAGTTTTCCATGTTACTGTCTCAAAGTTATTGGTTTGCAGTGTGAACTGTCAAAGTTTTTCATGTTGCTGTATCAAAGTAATTGGTTCGCAATGTGAACTAGCAGTATACATGATGTCAAAGTTTTCCATGTTACTGTCTCAAAGTTTTTGTTTTGCAACGTGAACTAGCAGTATACATGATGTCAAAGTTTTCCATGTTACTGTCTCAAAGTTATTGGTTCGCAATGTAAACTAGCAGCATAAATGATGTCAAAGTTTTCCATGTTGCTGTATCAAAGTTTTTGGTTCGCAATGTGAACTAGCAGTATACATGATGTAAAAGTTTTCCATGTTACTGTCTCAAAGTTATTGGTTCGCTATGTGAACTAGCAGTATACATAATGTCAAAGTTTTCCATGTTACTGTCTCAAAGTTATTGGTTCGCTATGTGAACTAGCAGTATACATGATGTCAAAGTTTTCCATGTTGCTGTATCAAAGTTGGTTCTCATTGAGTACTGGGTAAGTCATGTGGCTGTCTAAACTGTTATCTATTCAATACAAGATCAAAAGCTAGTCTTTATAAAAAAAAAACCATGCCTTGATTTATCAGTAAAATGTATCAGTAAAATGTAACAGTTATGAAGCCACTGTTGTTGAAATCTTCATCATTTTATTATCAAAGTATGCAATTATGAAAGGTCATTACCTAAAATGTTGGTGATACCTTTCAACATAACAGCAGAAAATACATGAAGTAGTTTGCTTAAAATATATAGTCATGAATTATATTCTAGATAGAATTCTTTCAGCTTTAATCATGCCAAAGAGACGGCCAGCCACAGACGAAACCTGGAGAAGAGCAAAGAGTCTATAAAATCAGATTGAAGTGTCAAAACTGGTGGACGGAACCTTCTTAAGATGCTACAAGCAATATATCAGAATTACTCAATCAGTTATTAAGTTCAGGTGAGCCAGCAACCCCAAAAAATGGCACATAGCATATCAACATTGATGGGATTCCGCTCAGTGCGGCAGTAGCACAACGCATGAAACAATATTGCTGCCGGATCAGTTACAATACAGTTAAATGCAACAAAGCCGAGGGCGTCTCTGTCCATTAATCAGTGGACAGATGCGTCTTTGATTTTGATATTCACAACAATCTATTTGGAAAAATCCACCAGTCAACCCAAACAAATTAAGTGAATTTCTAGTTCATTATGATAGATCTCTTTCAAATTATTTAGTGCAGGGTTTTAAATAGGATTTTCGCCTGGGTTGTGTTGCAGACCCCATCATATCCGATATGTTAAGTAATCATAAATCAGCAAGGGAGCACCCAAATATTATCAATGATCACACAGAAACAGGTCTGCAAAAGGTACAATTGCTGGACCATTACTTGCACCCCCATTAGATCACTTTATTGTATCACCCCTACTATGGCCCTAAGTTTATTGTCAAAGGGTATTTCAGGTAAATTCGGAATAATTCATGACCTATCTTGTCCAAAAGACCAGTCCGTGATGCCAACATTCCAAAAGAGCTCTCTGCTGTACACTGTGATTGGATTGTTAATGTTGGAGGTTTGGTTAAAAAATTTGGTCAAGATATTTTAATGGCAAAGTCTGACATCAAAGAGGCCTATAGAATAGTTCCAATTCACCCTCTAGATCACCATCTATTAGGTTTTCATTGAAAAAATTCATTTTAATATTATGATATATGTTAACCAATGGGAGCAAGTAGCAGTTGTCAAATTTTGAAACATTAAGTTGTGCACTATAGTGGACAATGGAAATATTTTTAAAGCAGCAGGGGTCTGTCATATCCTGGACAATTTTTCCTTTGTGGGCCCACCAAATTCATCAAAGTGTAGGTATGTTCTAGCCAGTTTATATTCTTATGTAGGCAAATTGGGTTCCTTTTAAGATGCAATAAATGCAGACACCTACAACTAAAATAATTATCTATTGGATAGAAGTAGATACTGGGATAATGGAATACAGACATCCATATGAAAATTTTTTTTAAAAAGTGCAAAAAGGTCTCATTGAAAGAATTACAGTCAGCACATAAGTCTTCTTAACTTCGCATGTGAGGTAGCTAGTAGTACCTGGTAGGGCCTTCTTAAGGCGTTTAATCAATCTCACATGTGGTTTTGATGATTCTAAACGATATGCTAAGATAGCGGGGAAGCGAGGGCTGACTTAGCTACCTGGTCATATTTCCTGGTCATATACCATAAATCATTTTCATGAAAAATCTGTCCTCCTAAATAAAGAATGGATGTCCTCAGAACATCTAAATCTGCAAACTGATGCCTCAGGGTCACACAGTTTTGCTGTAGTTTTGGGTTCAAAATGGTTTGCGGATAGATGGCCTGATGCCCTTATACAATGTCAAATATGCATCAAAGAACTTTTTCCAATTGTTATTGCAGTTAGAATTATGTGGGCACAAGCTTCAAAACAAAAGAATACTTTTCTTATTTGACAATAAAGCAGTAGTAGAGGTCATAAATAAACAGTCATCTGGAGAACATAACCTCATGAAATTATTATGTCGGCTTGTACTAGTGGCAATGCAGTGCAATATTCACTTTAGAGCTAATCATGTTTCAATAAAATCTAATGTACTCGCTGACAGACTTTCTCAAACATTATTCACCAAGCACATTGGCATCACGTGTTTCGCACATTTAATTTTCTGAAAATTTTGAATTTGCCAGACCCATCTCAGAATTTTTTTTTTGTTCAGAAATTGTTAAAAAGGTGTCAAAAATTATGTCAAGGAACAGCCTCAAGACTCCAAATAATGAGGGAAATTCCTACAAAAGTTATAGAAGCTATACGTCTTACAAGCTCTATTTGGAATAACCAAATTCTTTTAAGAGCATTGTTTCTTACAGCATTTAAAAAAACAAAAAAATTAGATTGGGAGAATTATTTGTTAGGACACTGCAATCTATGAATCAAGTGTTTTTAAGGTCAAACATACATTTTGAAACTGAGAAAGGAAAAT